GGGTGCGACTCTCAAGTTGTTCTGTGATTCGTTTTCTTCGCCTATAGAGGGAACGACGTTCCCGTTCCAATCTGCATCTTACTAACTACTACTACTAACTATATTTCTCTGTCTCTCTGTCTGTGTGTCTGTCTGTCTGTCTCCCTCCCTCTCTCTCTCTCCCTCCCTCTCTCCCCCTCTCCCTCTCTCTCTCCCTCTCTCTCTCCCTCTCTCTCTCCCTCTCTCTCTCCCTCCCTCCCTCTCTCCCTCCCTCTCTCCCTCCCCCTCTCCCTCTCTTGTAACCCGGGTTAGGGTTCCTCTCTCTACTTCACTACCTTCTACTCCCCCTCTACCCGTATTCTTACTTTTTATTCTCTACCAAGGGACTCCAAAACTTTTACCAAAACCAACTCCACGCCACGTGGTCCTAAGACGATTGACCGACTTAGGATTCTACACCCAGTATGACGTGACCTAGGCTTTGAGCAAAACCCTAGAGTCGCCTCTACGCTGCCACCACCAGACCAGCAACACCGAGCAATGATCGAGGTCTGGATCGATCACGCTAATTAATCAACCTTGGGGCTTGATCCCCACTCGATGACCGTGGAAACTTAAGAGTGTGAAATTAATTACACGGGAATGATTCGATGTTAGAATCGGCGCCCAATCCAACTCTTCCTCGTGTGGACCACGTGACCAGGGCAAGTATACACATAAAACACATGGAAATAATAAAAATGCAAAATATTAACAAATTTAATTTATTAAAAGAAAAACTAAAGCAAAATCTAAATAGGTTCACTTCCTGTCACTTTAACACTCCCTACTTGACCTGAGTGGCAATGAAAACTATTCTATAAATAACCATAGCAACTATACCTCTATGTTTTACCAGCTAAAGATGTTGGGCTGGTCTCGGGGAGAGGTAAGATGTTTGACCTCTCCCAGCTGCTCCCGTGTCCACACTGATCTGTCCTCGTCTGATCTAGCCCAGACTAGAACATTGTATTGTTCCGCATCGCTTACCCAGTTACTTTAGCAAGGTTAAGTTATAACAATTAACCTCTGTTGTACTTAATTGATCAAGACTGGTTGAATTATTTTACTGAAATTAAATTACACAAGCATCTAACGGCAGAGCTGTTCCCGATCCCCAAAATGGTTAATTGAACTTTGAGAAATAGTAGACCTGTCAACCCTGATGACCTATGACCGCCGGTCACTCCGCCTTACAAGTTAGATCTGATTCGTGACGTCACTGATGGTGACTTAAACTCAATAATTAGAATACTCTTGATATTGTATCCAGTACTATTATACAATACAATTTTAATGCAAAATGAATAAAGGCTAATTTCTCTAAATTACTGAATACTATAGGATGATTCATTATACGCAGCTATGAACAAAGCGTCGGTTATTTCCACCGCGAATTCCCCTGGGGTCAGGTTCCCAGGTCACCATGCGGGCTCAGCTTCCCATTCTCTTTTGTCGATAAACCACTCTGGATAATTCTTACAACAGCCTAGTTTGTTACACTCTCTCTCCCTCTCTCTCCCTCTCTCTCTCCCTCCCTCCCTCTCTCCCTCCCCCTCTCTCTCTCCCTCTCTCTCTCCCTCTCTCTCTCCCTCTCTCTCTCCCTCTCTCTCCCTCCCTCCCTCCCTCCCTCCCTCCCTCTCTCCCTCCCCCTCTCCCTCCCCCTCTCCCTCCCCCTCTCCCTCTCTCTCTCTCCCTCTCTCTCTCTCTCCTCTCTCTCTCTCTCCCTCTCTCCATCCCTCCCTCTCTCTCCCTCTCTCTCCCTCTCTCTCCCTCTCTCCCTCTCTCTCTCCCTCTCTCTCTCCCTCTCTCTCTCCCTCTCTCTCTCCCTCCTCCCTCTCTCTCCCTCTCTCTTCCCTCTCTCTCTCCTCTCTTTCCCTCTCTCTCTCTCTCTCTCTCTCTCTCTCTCTCTCTCTCTCTCTCTCTCTCTCTCTCTCTCTCTCTCTCTCTCTCTCTCTCTCTCTCCTCTCTCTCCCTCTCTCTCCCCCCTCTCTCCCCCTCTCTCTCTCTCCCTCTCTCTCCCTCTCCTGCCTCTGGCGGGGATCGAACCCGGGCCTTTAGGACTACAACCCCAGAACGCTGTCCACTCAGCCGCGAGGCCTCGTGCGTGCGTACACACGTAATTGTAATCGCCTAATTGTGCTTCTAGGTAGGTGTGTGCGTGTGTGTGTACTCACCTACGTATATCACCTCACCACCTGGTGTGTATCCACCAGGCTACGAAAGGGGCCTCGTAGCCTGGTGGATAGCGCGCAGGACTCGTAATTCTGTGGCGCGGGTTCAATTCCCGCACGAGGCGGAAACAAATGGGCAAAGTTTCTTTCATCCTGAATGCCCCTGTTACCTAGCAGTAAATAGGTACCTGGGAGTTAGTCAGCTGTCACGGGCTGCTTCCTGGGGGTGGAGGCCTGGTCGAGGACCGGGCCGCTGGGACACTAAAGCCCCGAAATCATCTGAAGATAACCTCAAGATAACCTAGTTGTGCTTGCGGGGGTTGAGCTCTTGGCTCTTTGGTCCCGCCTCTCAACTGTCAATCAACTGGTGTACAGGTTCCTGAGCCTACTGGGCTCTATCATATCTACATTTGAAACTGTGTATGGAGTCAGTTAAAAAGTTTAACCTTATCTACCCTGTCAATTCCTCTGAGAATTTTGTAGGTAGTGATCATGTCTCCCCTTACTCTTCTGTCTTCAGTGTCGTGAGGTGCATTTTACGCAGACTTTCCGCTTAACGCATGCCTCTTAGTTCTGGGACTAGCCTACTGTGCGTGCGTGCGTTGGTAATTACCTAAGTGTAGTTACAGGATGAAAGCTACGCTCGTGGTGTCCCGTCTTCCCAGCACTCTTTGTCATATAACACTTTGAAACTACATGCGTGCGTGCATGCGTGCGTGAGTGTGGGCGCGCGCGGAGTGGTGGGGTGAGTCAGTACAAGCGTGTGACTTTTCTGTGTATATAAACATTTTGGTTAAGCCGTAAAGCGGGTTGATAGTGGGTGTGGTTACGTGATTTGTTGACGTAGAGCTACGAGGAGCTGGCACTGGTGGCCGGCTCTCTTGTTTGTTGTCACACTGGGTGCCAGAGGTGTTCCTCTCCCTGCTCCCTCCACACACACACACACACACACACACACACACACACACACACACACACACACACACACACACACACACACACACCCACCCACCCACTCGGGATCCAAGAGACAATGCTCGATCCTGCAAGCACAAATAGGTGGTACACACACACATACACACGGGACCTTTGGCGGGAACAAAGAGCCAGAGCTCAACCCCCACAAGCACAACTAGGTAAGTATGCATACTGTCGCAAGCAGGCTTGGGCAAGACCTAAGCCTTCCATCCCCCTCCCCCCTGGCAACTACCCCTCAGGAGGATGAGCCTACCCAAGTAGCAATGTCCACGGAACAGCTTCCTGCACTAGTGGGGAGGGTGGGTGAAAATGTACATAGGGAAGTGAGCTTCAAGTTAATGTACTCAAACATCGATGGGATAACCAACAAAGCAAGTGAACTGACAGAAAGGGAGCAGGAAGAAAACCCAGATGTAATAGGACTCTCAGAAACAAAATTGTCAAATCATACTGTTTCCAATGGATTACTGTACTATAGAGTAAGAAAAGAGAGGGAAGGGAGAGGAGTACAGTACAGGTGAGTGTGCTTGATGTACAGGCTAACCCCAGCCTGTAGCCTGTGTTTTCTCTCACATCTGAAAAGACTGTTCTCCGAGATCCACATTTCACCATCATGGTAGTCCTTGGTGTGGGTTTCTGTTAGGGCTGCGAACACTCTATTTGCCTCATGTACGCGGCCGTCTATGAAGTCCACTGTGTTAGATTTGCGTGTTTATAATCTGAATGTTGGCAAATAAAAGGATGTTTGTGGAGTGCTGGATGCTTTACTTGGTGTTAATATCCATAATCCATCTATCCATAAATCTATCGGGACGTGATCTGGAATAGAGCAGTAACTATTCTGGCAGGTGTTGTGCCAAACGTACATCAGTGAAAAGAAAAAAGAAAATAAAATGAAATAAAACTGCTCCGTCCTTTTACTGTGTGTCAGTTGCGTGCAAAAACCAAGAGAATAAAAACATTAAACATTTAATATAACAAAAAATGACAAATTTTACACAAAATTATAAGTAACGATTAATGAAAACAAACTCCTAATCCACTTAAACACAATCTACAGAGAAATATATACATGTGAATTTTACGTTAATAACTAAGGTGAAGGTAATACCTTACACAAAACACACACACACAGATCACACTAATGTGATGCATCAAATGAACAAATCCACAAGGGCCGTGACGAGGATTCGAACCTGCGTCCGGGAGCATCCCAGACGCAGGATCATCCCATAGCACAAAATGCTATGCGCTTCTACCGTCACCCGTACGCGAGGATAGATGCGGAAACAATGAGCACTCGAAGAGTAATCTGCTGTACTGGACGCTGGCAAGTCCTTTAATATATATATATATATATATATATATATATATATATATATATATATATATATATATAAAATATATATAAATAATAATATGCAACTGAAAACTCACACCCCAGAAGTGACTCGAACCCATACTGCCAGGAGCAATGCAACTGGTATGTACAGGATGCCTTAATCCACTTGACCATCACGACTGGACAAAAACTGATGGTAACCGAGGCTATTTAGGCGAGTTTTCAGTTGCATATAGTCCTGGGGACCATTCAGGCTTGTTCGCATGTATATATATATATATATATATATATATATATATATATATAATGTAAATAATAGGCGGTGATATAATTTTGGCGCGAATGCTGGAGTTGTAGAGAAGCTGGCAAGATAACTACAGTCGTGATAGCTTGTCTGGCGTCGGGTGAACTGGTGGTAGGTGCGCTGTCTCTCAAGGGGGGGGGGGGTCTAGACAATACGTGTTGACACGTATTGTTGTTGAGTCTGGATGTTGGAGCATGATGATATGTTGGTGGCATGTTGGAGCATGATGATATGTTGGTGGTATGTTGGAGCATGATGATATGTTGGTGGTAGGGAACAGGTAGAGACCGCTACTATGCACGGGGATAACTGCAACACTGTCCTTTCATCTATATCCATCTATTAGGCCATCCATTTATCCCTCTGTCCATCTAATCATCCATGCCTCAGTGCCTCTACAGACCCCCTCTGTGCTTATTCTGGCCCCCCTCTTCACCTGTGCTGATCCCCCTCTGCACCTGTGCTGACCCCCTCTCTGCACCTGTGTTGCCCCCCCTCTGCACCTGTGCTGACCCCCTCTCTGCACCCGTCCTGAATCCCTCTCTGCACCTGTGCTGACCCCCCTCTTCACCCATGCTGACCCCTCTCTGCACCTGTGCTGACCTCCCCCCTCTGCACCTGTGCTGACCCCCTCTCTGCACCTGTGTTGCCCCCCCCTCTGCACCTGTGCTGACCCCCTCTCTGCACCCGTCCTGAATCCCTCTCTGCACCTGTGCTGACCCCCCACTGCACCTGTGCTGACCCCCTCTCTGCACCTGTGTTGCCCCCCCTCTGCACCTGTGCTGACCCTCTCTGCACCTGTGCTAGACCCCCTTCTGCACCTGTGCTGACCCCTCTCCACCCGTCCTGACCCCTCTGCACCCGTTCTGACCTCTGTACTCCTTCCGCAGGTAAGTTGTGGTTGGAGCAGCAGCCGACTGGACGCAAGGTGGACGCCGAGGAGGAGTCTACGCATGACTACAGGTCGTCCTCCAGCACCACACACCAAGGTAAGAGTCGCAGCCAGGCTCACCTGTGTTGGGGTTCACGGTAGGCAAGTGTGCGAGTTAAAGGAGGGGGTGCTAGTAGAGCACAAGCTCCAACATGGTATACAGCGTATTTAATCGCGATTTCTAGAGTTTTATGCAATGAGAGGGTGCTAGTAGCAAGAATGAGAAGGGTGGTAGTAGCGAGAATGAGAAGGGTGCTAGTAGCAAGAATGAGAAGGGTGCTAGTAGCGAGAATGAGAAGGGTGCTAGTAGCGAGAATGAGAGGGGTGGTAGTAGCGAGAATGAGAAGGGTGCTAGTAGCAAGAATGAGAAGGGTGGTAGTAGCAAGAATGAGAAGGGTGGTAGTAGCAAGAATGAGAAGGGTGGTAGTAGCAAGAATGAGAAGGGTGGTAGTAGCAAGAATGAGAAGGGTGGTAGTAGCAAGAATGAGAAGGGTGCTAGTAGCGAGAATGAGAAGGGTGGTAGTAGCAAGAATGAGAAGGGTGGTAGTAGCAAGAATGAGAAGGGTGGTAGTAGCAAGAATGAGAAGGGTGGTAGTAGCAAGAATGAGAAGGGTGCTAGTAGCAAGAATGAGAAGGGTGCTAGTAGCGAGAATGAGAAGGGTGCTAGTAGCAAGAATGAGAAGGGTGGTAGTAGCAAGAATGAGAAGGGTGGTAGTAGCGAGAATGAGAAGGGTGGTAGTAGCAAGAATGAGAAGGGTGGTAGTAGCAAGAATGAGAAGGGTGGTAGTAGCAAGAATGAGAAGGGTGGTAGTAGCGAGAATGAGAAGGGTGCTAGTAGCGAGAATGAGAGGGGTGGCAGTAGCGAGAATGAGAAGGGTGCTAGTAGCAAGAATGAGAAGGGTGCTAGTAGCAAGAATGAGAAGGGTGCTAGTAGCGAGAATGAGAAGGGTGCTAGTAGCGAGAATGAGAGGGGTGGTAGTAGCGAGAATGAGAAGGGTGCTAGTAGCAAGAATGAGAAGGGTGGTAGTAGCAAGAATGAGAAGGGTACTAGTAGCAAGAATGAGAAGGGTGGTAGTAGCAAGAATGAGAAGGGTGGTAGTAGCGAGAATGAGAAGGGTGGTAGTAGCAAGAATGAGAAGGGTGGTAGTAGCAAGAATGAGAAGGGTGGTAGTAGCGAGAATGAGAGGGGTGCTAGTAGCAAGAATGAGAAGGGTGGTAGTAGCGAGAATGAGAAGGGTGGTAGTAGCAAGAATGAGAAGGGTGCTAGTAGCGAGAATGAGAAGGGTGCTAGTAGCAAGAATGAGAAGGGTGGTAGTAGCAAGAATGAGAAGGGTGGTAGTAGCAAGAATGAGAAGGGTGCTAGTAGCAAGAATGAGAAGGGTGCTAGTAGCAAGAATGAGAAGGGTGCTAGTAGCAAGAATGAGAAGGGTGCTAGTAGCAAGAATGAGAAGGGTGCTAGTAGCAAGAATGAGAAGGGTGCTAGTAGCAAGAATGAGAAGGGTGCTAGTAGCAAGAATGAGAAGGGTGCTAGTAGCAAGAATGAGAGGGTGCTAGTAGCAAGAATGAGAAGGGTGCTAGTAACAAGAATGAGAGGGTGCTAGTAGCAAGAATGAGAAGGGTGCTAGTAGCAAGAATGAGAGGGTGCTAGTAGCAAGAATGAGAAGGGTGCTAGTAGCAAGAATGAGAGGGTGCTAGTAGCAAGAATGAGAAGGGTGGTAGTAGCAAGAATGAGAAGGGTGGTAGTAGCAAGAATGAGAAGGGTGCTAGTAGCAAGAATGAGAAGGGTGGTAGTAACAAGAATGAGAAGGGTGCTAGTAGCAAGAATGAGAAGGGTGCTAGTAGCAAGAATGAGAGGGTGCTAGTAGCAAGAATGAGAAGGGTGGTAGTAGCAAGAATGAGAAGGGTGGTAGTAGCAAGAATGAGAAGGGTGCTAGTAGCAAGAATGAGAAGGGTGGTAGTAGCAAGAATGAGAAGGGTGCTAGTAGCAAGAATGAGAAGGGTGCTAGTAGCAAGAATGAGAAGGGTGCTAGTAGCAAGAATGAGAAGGGTGGTAGTAGCAAGAATAAGAGGGGTGGTAGTAGCAAGAATGAGAAGGGTTCTAGTAGCAAGAATGAGAAGGGTGGTAGTAGCAAGAATGAGAAGGGTGGTAGTAGCAAGAATGAGAAGGGTGGTAGTAGCAAGAATGAGAAGGGTGCTAGTAGCAAGAATGAGAAGGGTGCTAGTAGCAAGAATGAGAAGGGTGGTAGTAGCAAGAATAAGAGGGGTGGTAGTAGCAAGAATGAGAAGGGTGCTAGTAGCAAGAATGAGAAGGGTGGTAGTAGCAAGAATGAGAAGGGTGGTAGTAGCAAGAATAAGAGGGGTGGTAGTAGCAAGAATGAGAAGGGTGCTAGTAGCAAGAATGAGAAGGGTGGTAGTAGCAAGAATGAGAAGGGTGGTAGTAGCAAGAATAAGAGGGGTGGTAGTAGCAAGAATGAGAAGGGTGCTAGTAGCAAGAATGAGAGGGGTGGTAGTAGCAATATAGGTTTTACTCTGGGTAACCCCCCCCCCCACATCTGAGAAGGGAAGGGAACTATCAGGGGACACGCGCCAAGCCATTGCGACTATATAGCACTGGGAAGGAGTCAGGATAAGGATTTGGGATGGGACAGGGGGAAAGGAATTGAACGCCGATCTGCATGAAGCGAGACCGTCGCTCTACCGTCCAGCCCAAGTGGTTGAGCCCCCCCCCCCACATCTGAGTACAAAGGGAGTGGCGACGTTTGGGTCGTCGTTGGACTATTATCAAGTCGTGTAAAGAATGTGGATGACAAAGGCAGTAAGGTAAGAGTGTGTGAACCTTACCTTGAGGTGCTTCCGGGGCTTAGCGTCCCCGCGGCCCGGTCGTCGACCAGGCAAACCTAATGACTAGACCTTGACTAATAAACTGGGATGAAAAGTGTCCCGCTGTATTAGGCTGTGCAGATAACGATCTCGTTGCTAGAAATGGGTCGTCTTGTAGACAATAAAGCTAAATATGGGTCAAATGTGAAGTGGTTTGCCCTGAGCGGAAGAGTTGGCACCCACATTACTTATTGAAGCACTTACCCTTTAGTCCAAGATGGTGGACTAAAGGCTATGGTGTCAGCAGGCGAGGAGTCACAATAACGTGGCTGAAGAATGTTGACCAGACCGCACACTAGAAGGTGAAGGGACGACGACGTTTCGGTCCGTCCTGGACCATTCTCAAGTCGATTAGGGAGCCGGTCGGCCGAGCGGACAGCACGCTGGACTTGTGATCCTGTGGTCCTGGGTTCGATCCCAGGCGCCGGCGAGAAACAATGGGGCAGAGTTTCTTTCACCCTATGCCCCTGTTACTTAGCAGTAAAATAGGTACTTGGGTGTTAGTCAGCTGTCACGGGCTGCTTCCTGGGGGTGGAGGCCTGGTCGAGGACCGGGCCTCGGTCATTTCAAACTTCAAACATTTCATATTTAGATCGACTTGAAGTGATAGTCAGTCTTCTTCCGTGTTTATTTATCTACCGATGTTTGTATCATCGGCAAATGTGCAAATGTTGCTACTCAAACCTGAATCTAAATCATATTTATAATCGACAACAGAGGTCCCAGGACAGAGCCTTGAGGCACTCCACTTACAACATTTTCCCACTATGACTTAACCAAACAGGCCCAAGTTAGGCAGCGGTTGTGGGGTGCATCCTGGGGATGTGCGTGTGTGTGTAATTACCTAAGTGTAGTTACAGGATGAGAGCTACGCTCGTGGTGTCCCGTCTTCCCAGCACTCTTTGTCATATAACGCTTTGAAACTACAGACGGTCTTGGCCTCCACCATCTTCTCACCTAACTTGTTCCAACCGTCTACCACTCTGCTATATACTGTGACTCGCAGAGTGCACTCCTGGCATTGAACGCACATAGTAGTGACACCCAGAAAATAGTAAGTGATATTCGAATGAATGTTTTAGCTGCTAAAGAAAACAGATTTTAAATTAATTTCCTATGGATACCATCACATGTTGGCATCTCAAGGCATGACACTGTTGATATGCTTGCTAAGTCAGCCTGTAGAAAATCAGTGGTAGAAATTGATATGGGTGTTTCATTAGCAGTGACAAAGAGAATACTTAACAAATATCTAATGAAAATCTCACCGACCTAACAAATTCTCAAAGACCTGAAAGTTGTAGCATTAAATATTGTGATAGATATCGTGAGGAGACATTCACATATGGGACTAATAGAACAAGAACCCGGCAATGTGATGTTATAGTGGCCAGAATACGCCTGGGATATAGACGTATCTGGTAGCTTTCTCAAAACCCAAATGTCGAGTACACAATGTGTCAACTTTGTGAAAGAGAAAACATGCACTCTCTTGAACATTATATTGTAGAATGTCCCATACTGACTGACTTTCGTCCTCCTGGGCTAAGGTATGCTGAACTGTGTAATTACTATATGAGTACTGGAACACTTGATATATTGGACTTGTATCCAAGATTAACCATGTAATGTATCAATTATACAATGTTATATTCAATATATCATTTATTCAATGTTATATGATGTAACTATATAACCTGAGCTTGTAAAAGCACCTTAATCACCTTCAGTGATTAAGTGCTTAATTGCACACTAGTTTCTCTATCAGCTATCTCACCCTGTCAGAGTAAGAGAGACAAATGTATGTGAATGCATGTGTGTGTGTATATATGTATATGTACGTACGTGTGTGTATGTATGTATGTATGTATGTATGTATGTATGTATGTATGTATGTATGTGTAAAAGTATATATGGAAGTTGATCAGAATTACATTTCACCTTTGTAAATGCACATTAATGACACTATGTAAAAGACACATCGAACACTTTATGTAGGGCATACGTAAATCTGTGTATCTATGTATTTACGTATGTAGGTTAGCTTAGCATTTTAAAAGCACCGAATCACCTTCTGTGGTCGAGTGTTCAATAAACCCTTGAACTATATGTTTAACACATCTCTAACCCTGTCCATGGAGGACAGAAGAAAATGTGTATATGCTGGTTAGCATTGTAAATGTGTGGCCACGTCTGTGGTAGAAAATAATTAAAAAAAAACTGAAAAAGTGAATTTTCAGATATTTCTTCGGCATCTTTATTTAGTTAGTTTAAATCTTGTTCTTGAAGTTCCAGATCTCGGGAAATCTTCCCTGTCGATTTTATCAATTCCTGTTACTATTTTGTATGTAGTGATCATATCACCTCTTTTTCTTCTGTCTTCTAGTTTTGGCATATTTAATGCCTCTAACCTCTCCTCGTAGCCCTTGTCCTTCAGTTCTGGGAGCCACTTAGTAGCGTGTCTTTGCACATTTTCCAGTTTGTTGATGTGCTTCTTAAGATATGGGCACCACACAACAGCTGCATATTCTAGCTTTGGCCTAACAAAAGTCGTGAACAATTTCTTTAGTATATCGCCATCCATGTATTTAAAAGCAATTCTGAAGTTAGAAAGTGTAGCATAGGCTCCTCGCACAATGTTCTTTATGTGGTCCTCAGGTGATAGTTTTCTATATAGAACCACCCCTAGATCTCTTTCTTTATCAGAATTCTTTAAAGATTTCTCACATAATATATAGGTTGTGTGGGGTCTATGTTCTCCTATTCCACATTCCATAACGTGGCATTTATTCACATTAAATTCCATTTGCCAAGTGGTGCTCCATATACTTATTTTGTCCAGGTCATCTTGAAGGGCATGACAATCATCTAAGTTTCTTATTCTTCCTATTATCTTAGCATCATCAGCAAACATGTTCATATAATTCTGTATACCAACTGGTAGATCATTTATGTAGACAATGAACATCACCGGTGCAGTGTGTGTGTATGTACTCACCTAGTTGTGTTTGCGGGGGTTGAGCTCTGGCTCTTTGGTCCCGCCTCTCAACCGTCAATCAACTATTGTACAGATTCCTGAGCCTACTTGGCTCTGTCATATCTACATTTGAAACTGTGTGTGGAGTCAGCCTCCACCACATCACTTCCTAGTGCATTCCATTTATTAACTACTCTGACACTGAAAAAGTTATTTCTAACGTCCCTGTGGTTCATTTGGGTACTCAGTTTCCACCTGTGTCCTCTTGTTCGCGTAGCCCCCGTGTAAACAGTTTATCTCTATCTACCCTGTCAGTTCCTCTGGGAATTTTGTAGGTAGTGATCATGTCTCCCCTTACTCTTCTGTCTTCACGTGTCGTGAGATGCATTTTCCGCAGCCTTTCTTCATAACTCATGCCTCTTAGTTCTGGGACTAGCCTAGTGGCATATCTCTGAACTCTTGTGAGTGTTATATAGTAGAAATGATAGAGAAAATGGGTCTCGAGACATCACATTAGACAACTGATGGTTGGAAAGGCGGGGTCCAAGAGCCAAGAGCTCGATTGTGCAGGCACGAGTAGCCAAATCCCATCAGGTCAATACAGGAGAAAGGTTCGTGTTATTGTTTTAAGAGATGTTATCTTGAGATAATTTTGGGGCTTTAGTGTCCCCGCGGCCCGGTCCTCGACCAGGCCTCCACCCCCAGGAAGTAGCCCGTGACAGCTGACTAACACCCAGGTACCTATTTTACTGCTAGGTAACAGGGGCATAGGGTGAAAGAAACTCTGCCAATTGTTTCTCGCCGGCGCCTGGGATCGAACCCGGGACCACAGGATCACAAGTCCAGCGTGCTGTCCGCTCGGCCGACCGGCTCCCCTGTGAGAGAGATGACCTGCACTGTCTAGATATAACCCAGGGAGCAAGAGAACGTTCAGCACTAGGGAGGCAAATAACTTAACTTTAAACAAAACAAGATAATCTTATACGTAGTGTAAAGAGGTTGCCTCTTTACCCACTCGGCCACTAGGCTCTTAGCCCACTCAGCCACGGAGCGGCGTGGCCGAGTGGCAGCTACGGGAAGCCGGAAACATTTGAATAATGAAATGTACACGAAGCCTCAGCAGGAAGTAGAGAACAAGGAAGGTTGGAAAGGCACATGTAAGAGACCTTGTGAATGAGGGCAACAGACAGAGGAAATAACTGGCCTGTGGTACCCTCGGCCAACACAAGCTAGCCTGGCCGGGTTATGTTTGTTCTACCCGAGGGCCGAGTTTGTTGGGCAGCGTCACTCATCCTGTGAGTGGACACACCGCCATAGTGACAGTATTGGGCAGCGTCACTCATCCTGTGAGTGGACACACCGCCATAGTGACAGTATTGGGCAGCGCCACTCATCCTGTGAGTGGACACACCGCCATAGTGACAGTATTGGGCAGCGTCACTCATCCTGTGAGTGGACACACCGCCATAGTGACAGTATTGGGCAGCGTCACTCATCCTGTGAGTGGACACACCGCCATAGTGACAGTATTGGGCAGCGTCACTCATCCTGTGAGTGGACACACCGCCATAGTGACAGTATTGGGCAGCGTCACTCATCCTGTGAGTGGACACACCGCCATAGTGACAGTATTGGGCAGCGCCACTCATCCTGTGAGTGGACACACCGCCATAGTG